AGAGACAATATATGAGACCGGCTTGGTAATGATGCTCATTACAAAAATGTTCGAACTCCTTTTAATAACTTAACGAGATCTTCATTATATGTAGCTGAGAGATGGTAATAAAATGAGTTGCGAAGTCAAAGTTAAGGTTGTATAGAAGAACTGACAGCATTGATTGACATTGAGAAGGATAGAAAATGATCCGTCTGGAAATTGTATTTGGAAATATACTCGTTAATAATACATGCTCAATAAAACCTTCTCCAGCGTCAGAGTCTCAATACCACTGAAATTTCATTTTCTTTTTTATTCATCACATCACATTTATCTAATTAGCTATGTTATCAATGTCAACATAATTAAATAAGTTGCCTGCCTTACTCATCACATGTTACACATTATCACAAGGTTGGCGTTCGTCTCTTATGCGATCATTATTATTTTTTGAGTGTGTACCATCATCCAGCTGTGTTAATAATAGTTTTGCATCAGTATTTTCATTATTTTTGGCGATATATTCTTCTCGGTGTATTTATTTTAGCCAGTGTAAAACAAGGTGACAGAGTGGGTGGTTGTGTAGTGACATCTGGAGCTATTTCTGTGTAGTGATGGATTCTTTTATTGAAAGTTTATAAGTGTGTAAGCTCGTTCGAGTGTTAAAAATTCTCTATGATTTGTAAAAGGAAGAAATGTTTGTGGGGAATATTGGAGCAATGAGTAGCAATCGCTTTTTTAAACAGAGGCAACTGTAAAGACACAAACCCTGCACCTGGAAAGCAGGCATTTCTAGCTGTATAATATTGTACTACAATTACAGACCTGTTGAGTCCCAACGTGCATCACAAAACTGGGCCTCAATGATAACGTTACGTTACTCCGGCATGTCAATGGCGTTTCAATAACAGATGTTTTTGACGCAGTTCTTGTTTAATAGATCACAAATTTATAAATATATCTGTCACCATTGTTCTATCGAGTCATAATACAGTCGCAAAATGTAATTAATTGAAATGCCATTAAAGTGCCATTACCGTGTTAAAATTAGCTCTTGTCTTGTGAAATGTAATTATCGCGCAGGCGGGTCATAACTTAGTACTTGTCGTTGCCTGTTCTAGTGTTTAGATGTCATAATTTTACTGAGTAGTAATTTAGGTATAGGTCAAGACTAGAATGTTAACACAACTCTTAACTAGTAGATGACTGCAGTTTTCACTCAATTCTTGATTGGTTCAATTTTACTGGTCAATGTGGTCAGCACGCGAGAGTCCGGGTGACCTCTGCGCCCTCATCATATTGGTCAATAAAACAATGACCGACCAATATAAGCGAGGAACAGAAATCACCTGCGCGCCGTATGCGAATGCCATCTACTAGTGTAAATACACCATAAATGTTTAGATAATAAACACAGAACAAATAGAGACAAATGTGTTTAGATGATAAATACATAATTTTATAAAGCGGAGAACTTTTAACTCTAATCTGCAGTTACTGCTCAAGTTAACGAGCTAATTAACTAGAGCCTGCAGGGGTTGCCTACTGCTTATATGATTATTGAGTAAACATACTCTATCGATTAAATGAGTTACCACTATCATAAATGCTGCTTACAGACTACCCTCTGTCGGACAAATGAGTCAAAGTTACAATACTTTTACAAGGACTACGGCTCAAGAATTAATAGAGCTAATGCATAATATCCTGAGCTGATCGGTCCTAATCAAAAAGGTAGAAAACTTGAGCCTACCGTAGTTCAAATGCCACATAAATTTATGTCACAAATTGTTTTTATGTTATTGTTCTAGGCAAATTTTTCTGCCTACATAAAATTTTTTCTCTCTCTGAAACTCTTGATTATTATCAACGTGCTTAATAATACGATATAATAGTGTGGAAAATGGATACAATCAAAGTCGTAGGAGATTTCGTCAAAGAAAAATCTCCATTTTCGGTGAGTGGTTCTAAACAATTTGCATTTTTTATTAAATAACTAATTAACTGGTGTGAAGTTTCTGCAAAGATATTTTGTTTGCACGTCAATTGGCTTTATTAAAACCAGTTCTTGATTAAAAAATGCTCTCTGCTAGCATTAGGGGATCCCTTAATGCTTTCCACTTTTGTTCACATTACATTTTATTATCATTTAATATGCTATTTACGATATACGCAGATATAAATCAATTTATGAAATGCTCCTTATTGTACACGCTATATGAAAAACACAAGGTTCTACGGCAGAGGTTATTTATTCAAATGAATGTTGGAGTACATATCGACGCTGGAAAGCAAACACGTAGTAACGTGCAAAACCAAAATTGTTCTTCAGAGCAGAAAAACTTTTATTTTTTTTCGATAAATAATTCCTATAAAGTCCATGGTAACAAATAAGGTGTTCCTTAGTCAATTCATTTATACGGAAATTTTTTTTTTTTTGAAAAATATAAAGATTTTTCACTTTAAATATCCATTTTGGTTTTGCAGGTTACTATGTTTTTGGCTTTCCAGCGTCGATATGTTTCTGGTAAAATAACTTACAATTGCGATGTAGAATTATATGTAATGTATCACATATATAGGGCACCCTATTTTATATCCTATTTTATATGAAGAAGAAAACATAATAATATAACAATCAGTACATTTGGCGGCTTTATTGCTAAAAAGCAATAGTATTGTCTCCTGTATCCTATAATTCGATATAGGGATCGAGTTTTAAAGGCGACAAAATTTTAATATTCATACTTGCTTATATGAAAATTCGCTACTGCAAGAGATGGTCTCGAATAAATAACGCAAAAGTTCTGACAAATTGATCTACCGTCAATACTAGCCAAATAGCGTCGCGAATTATTGTTGCATTGTGATCTATTGTTGGATCAATACAAGCGACGGTCGACGACAATCAATCGATAATGAGTTAATCGATTGACCGCAATGGGTATGAAGGTTTTCGGCGATACGCGCCGCCATTACGAGTATTGTCTGCAGTTTGATGTCTGAGTTTTATGGTTTTTTATTTTAAAATTGTGTTTTTAATTAGCGATATTTTTTTTTATACATACATCTTCGGTTACCTATGCGATCTTCTCGCAGTTCTATAGACATTTTGACTATACATTTTTTAACGTTATTTTCTTCCACACTTATAATGTCTCTCATATTTTCTCTTATTATATCTGTGTATATCTTCACGCGTATCCTTTGCGGGGTAGGCAGTTATTCTATAGGTTTTATATGCTAAATCATCATGATCATCTAATCTTCATTATAAATAGTGGTTCTACTGATATTCTGCAAGAATAAAAATATTCACTTCGAGGAAAGTAGCTGTTTATGTCTAGCTGTAACTGTGTCCAATTGTTCTATTGTCATCCATATCTAGACGACTTATAAATGAAAAGCTATTATATTCGTTTCATAACTTATGTATATAAATATACATTATTTATTATCTATATTCGTGCTCTTACCTTGATAACTAATCAGATCTTTAAGTAACAATGCTCGTTAAAAATCATGCTTAGCGAATGTTTGTGGTAAGATTCTATGTTTGAGATATTATTCGCTAGCTCCTCGCTGGCGGCTTAGCCCGCTTTTATATCTTATCGTGCTTTAATTCCTAGGGAACCATTTAGTAGCATAAAAAGTAGCCTTTATGTTATTCCAAGCTTAGAATTATCCGTATACTAAATGTCATTGAAATCCATTCAGTAGTTGTTGCATAAAGAAGTAAAAAGCATCCAAATTTACAAAATTTCGACTTTATATTTGTAAGAATAGTGAGATTGCTACAAATTCACATATGGGGCCGTTCATTAATCATGTGATGTTCGAAAAAAAACACGAATTATACCAAAAGAGGAAAGTGGGTATATGACGTGTATTTATTTTTTCCTTAAACGCGCGATTACTATACCGAAATCGGCGTCAAAAATTAAGATTTTTGTAGGTACTAGAAAAAATACATATAATTTACAAAGGTTTTTTGCTGTTAACTCAATTTAATAAGAAACCACAACTTCTCGCGATCTCTTTTGCGAAGTACACAGTCAGACACATTGTACCACAAGGAACGGTCCTTAGATACGTCTTTTACGTGCTCGACCAGAAATCCACAAATTTGTTTTAATTTCCCTCTCACTCGATTTCTTGCTCTTATTTTGCCGTAATTAATATCCTATGGGATTCGGCTAAATGACAAAGTCTAAAAGTAGAGTCGAGGTTTTTTGACAATCTCGCCTAGGTATATTCCTATTATACTATCTAAACTATTCATATCCGTTAGCATCTATTCCATTGAGATGCGTCTTTGTAAATAAATGCATCAAGTGCTCGAATCCGAGCAAAATCAATTGAGCACACGAATATGGACTAACGACCGAGCGTAATGTTGATAACGCCATTAGTAGCGCAATTAGTTCAAGTTTATATTCCATTTTAAACGAGTAAGATATTTAATACCTATATTACCGGTGATAAACACCAGCTCCTATGAAAAAACACAATTTGCAATGCGGCCTCTATAAAGTCGCTAAACCTAATTATGACATTTCATCTGCATGGAAACAAAAAACTTTTATTGAAGTCTGGCAAGGATAACCTTACTATGGTTTAATATCGTAGTATATTATTGTCCGCCCTAGATCAAAAAAAGTTTGTTGTATCTGTTAACAGCTTGTCTAATTTAAAGTTAGAGTCTGCTTTAGTTTGAATAATATAGGTCAGAAATCGGTAACCTGCAGCTCTTTAGTCGTAAAGTTGTGGCTCTTAAGTTCCAGTAAAAAAAAATATTTTACGGTCTATGTCGTATTTGTACTATATTAAATAGTAAGTGAAATAATATTAAAACGAAATCTTTCAGAGACGCATTAAAAACTGAAATTGTAAGGTTGCTAACCCCTGCGTTAGGTTTAATTGTTTCTAACAAAAGATTAATTTATTTTTAAAAGCAGTGATAAAACTATCAACACTTGGGCTTTAGTCATACTGAAAGTGATTTTCTTTGTCATCAGCTGGACACATGGTTCGGGCGTCCGAAGAAGACTGGCGGTGGCGTGGAGCGCGGCTACGACACGGTGCCGCGCGGCGCCGAGCCCCGGGCTGATGATGAAGAACCGAGCGCCGCCGCCGAGTACCGCAGCAAGGTGGACGCGCTCGATGACGCCCAGCTTCAGCGGCGATTCGAGGAGATGCTGGTAGCTATATTATTATATTTATTTAAGGAAGACCAACAGATAACATACACGGCAGTTTTACTTCAAAATATACGATCCCAGGAGGCTAGAAAAGATAAGGATCTGTAAGGGGCTTTTTCAGCCCTGAAAATTATTTAAATTTCAAGTTGATCGCATCTATGAAATTTTTGGTTTTAAATATTTCAGAACATGTGTATTTTTTAGTTTACATTAATATTTTTCATCCTAGTTTAATACTTGTTTGTTCTTCGAAAGCACTAATAAATTATTTTTTTTGCTAAAGTTCAGCCATTTTCGAAGATCTGGTCACGGGTGTTTGAAAAGCTTCCGTTGAAGTTCGATAAAAATAATACATATCCCAATTATTCAAATGGGTATAAGTAATAAATTCTCCGCTTTAAAGCATCAGCGTTAATTTTTTTATTTTCTTTCTTCCCAGTCGGATATGAACCTTAGCGAAGAGAAGAAGGCTCCTCTCAGAAAATACTCGAAGGACCAAAAGAAGCAAATGCTCGTTGCGTACAAATTCGTCAATGCACAAGTTAGTAAAAATCTGATGTATGTAATAAGCTTTATTAACAACATTATTCATATGACTTTATTAGTAAATGTTCTAGCTTATTATTTAGTTATAAGTTTATAAACTAGGGCTTCCAATCCCGCAATACGAGATCTCTGTATTCCGAGATATTTTCTTTTCCTCGCAAGAAATTATGCAGTAATTATTTTAGATTTGAATACAACTATATTTTTATATCCGCCCCATAAATCTATGAGAATACAGCCAAACTCTGGAACAGTTTGTCGCCAGCGGTATTTCCGGACCGATACGACCTTCAAACTTTCAAGCGTAGAGCTTATTCTTCCTTCAAAGACCGGCAGCGCGCTTGTAGCTCCTTTGGTATTCATGGGCAGGTGTCCATGGGCGGCGGTATCACTCACCATCAGGTGATCCGTCTGCTCGACTGCCCCTATTCCATAAAAAAAATACTAAACCATAATTATTATATGTCACAGGAAGGTCGTTCCAAATTTGAAAAGCCTTCGGACTACGTAGCATATCTGTCCCAACCTGAATTGTCTGTGGGAAAACTGCACAGCTGCTTGGAGAATCTCAGGATAGCTCTCACCAACAATCCTCTATCGTGGATCGAAGAGTTCGGACCTAAAGGCATAGAAACTCTTTTGACTACACTCAACTTGTGCTACACAAAGTAAGTAACTTTCAGTAAGTTTATAATTGCCTGGTACTTGTGCATGTTTTTTAAAGTCTTAAAGAGTCTTTTTTAAACTGACTCATATAATTTTTAATAGATTGGGTATATCAACGTCGGTTCTTTTTAAATATAATAAGTAACGTTCCTATAAGTAAATAAATGTGGTGTCATAAGCTTTCATATTCATTTTATGTCGTTTTGGGAGCTAATTTATTCAATTCAAATTCATGCTGACAGTGGAAGTGGATTTTATCGGTAAGTTTCTACAAGTAAATTAAGCTTTGAAAAGTGTAGTTAACTCACTATCAGGCAAAATTTGAATTAAAAAGTTAACGCGTTTGTGTGCCTAGGGTTGGAGCTGTCATTTGGCCATGATAGTGTTATTCAATTTTTTTTATGCGAAGATATTCGATAATTGAATGTCATTCTAGACGAATATTTCACACCCTAGTCAAGTTTAAGTGGTAGCTGTTATAACCCCCAAGTTTACTAGTCACAACTACTATTATCTTTTCAAATCAGTTTCCATTGATTTTGCCTGAAGACAGAACTTCGACAAACAGTTACGCGACACGACCAATTAAAATAAAGGCTTAAATCTTAAATATATACTTGAAAATGTTAATATTAAATTATTTATTTATTATTATTAATATAAATTTTCTCAGTGACTCTCGCTACGACCGCGTGCAGTACGAGTGTATAAGATGCCTGTCCGCCATATTGAATAACACTGTCGGGATTCGAACAGTGTTCGAGTGTAGGGAAGCATTGCCTGTGTTGGCTCGTAGTCTCGACGCTAGAAAACCACACTGCGCCATGGAGGCCGCTAAAGTGAGTTTGACGTCCAGAGTTTTTAAAATCCAGATCTGACTCGTCGACTGACCCCGAATAAATAATGCTTAATTTGTGCTGTTTTAATGATAATCATGGATGCCAGTTATTGATTGAAAATCTGTTGAACATAATTAATTTCATTCATTTGTTATTAAATCAGCTAGTTGCACAAACGTCCATTAAAATGTTCTTTAGTTTATAGCCATATTACTCATCATATTTGAAATGGAAAGTGACTTCATATTCTAATGAAGTCACTTTTCAATAAGACTTCTCTGTATGAAATAAAACAGGGAGAAAAAAAACAGCCCTTGCTGAGTTTCTTGCCGGTTCTTCTCAGTACAAGGTCTCCCGCCGTAGTTTTGCGAACCGATGGCGTAGTTTTCGACTTTCACAAGTGCTCTGTAAAAGCCTAAACTGAATAAATAAATTTTGATTTGATTTGATTTGATTAATTAGAGCTGAAAGGCGTCATTAAAACTTAATGGACGTTTGTGCAACTGGCCGTTTACCTCTTAACAGTTTTCAAAATGTTTCATGTTTATCGATTTAATAATAAAAAGAAAATCTTTATTGATATAAATAATTTCATTAAGCAACAAACGGTTTCTGCTGCATGTTAGGTTTCCACGATATGTAATTTTTTTCCACTTGATTTGAAACACTACCCAAAAAAATAGGTTTAAAATCATATACGAAATATGATATAAGAAAGATTTGGATACCATGACGTGTGTTTGTTAATTGTACAATAAAAAATATTTTGCTACTTGCAACATAATCTAGAAATCCTTGTTTATATTATTACAATTGATGACTAACTGCGAATAGTTCGTTACATTTCCTTGATGATTTTTGTACAACAAGTATTCTTTTAAGATTTTTAAATGAAAAGAATAGTAGTAGATTTCTCTATATACTTTTTTTTTCAATTGCAGGTGTTAGCAGCGATATGTCTCATCCCTAATGGACACGAGAAGGTTCTAGAAGCGATTACGATGGCCGGTGAGTCCAGTAGGAAACCAAGGATGCTGCCAATCGTCGAGGGACTGGTCACTAAAGCACCTGAGAGCCTGAAGGTAGACATTTATTACGTTCTAAGGCATCCGTTTTTATTTATATGTATTAAAAGACTAATATCAATATTAAAAATATTTCAGAATGGCTGCATGCAATTGATGAACGCAATAATCACCGAACCGGAAGAACTCGAATTCAGAATGCATTTACGAAGCGAATTCATGAGAACTGGCCTGTATGATATGATCGGTGAGTTAGAACTTGACGTAATTCTACTTAATAGAAAATGACATTCAAAATGGAACCTTATGTCCTTACGAATTGGAATGTCATTTATATATACATGTTATATTATTCTGTGTTAGATGAGCTGAGGGCGGGCGCTGAGGGATCTCGTCAAATACAGATGAACGTGTTCGATACTCACGCCGCCGCCGATCAGGACGAGTTCTTGGCGAAGTTCGATGACGTCAGGTAATTTTAAACGCAAATTATATGTGATGGAATATAATGACCCACTTATTTTTTACATTTTTTTTATTCTTAATTAAAAAAATCACAAAGGTGGTCTTAATACCTAAAGCATTATCTACCAGTCAATCTGACAAGATGTTGGAGATAAGGCGACTCGTAAGGATGAAAAAAATAACATAGATCAATAAATTAATATACATACTGAATAATAATATACTAATACATAAAAAATAAATCGCAGAATGGGAATGAAATTTTACACAATAAAATAGTGCTCACAGACCAATCTGATAAATATCATTATACTTTTAGTAGTTCTAATGTGAAGCGGTGAAGCATTCCAAAGGCATATAGCAGTTAGGGTAAAAGATTTAGAAACAAGTAATTATGAAGGGGCGTTTGGAGAATGAAGTTGCTACTAGACCGAAGATCACGTTGATAACAGGAACCAAGATATTGGAACCTTGATTTCAAATATCCTGGGGTACATGGATCGAATACCACTTCGAAGAGCATACAAGCAACTCGCAGGTTTCTGCGTTGATGAACAGTCGGCCATCCGAGTTGTTTCCTGTAGTCGGAGATATGATAGCGCCGTTAACTAAACTATCCAGTTTGTCGAGAAGATATTGAGTAGTGTCAGTATAGAAGACGTAAAACGAGAGCCTGTACTAATACAATTTTAGTATTGGAAGGGAGAAAGAACTTTAGTCTATAAAGGGATCTAAGCGTATTGACAACATTACGGAGCACCTCCCTAACCTATACTTCCCAACTGAGAATACAGTAAACAAGTAGGCTCAGGTTCTTGACATACGACTAAAACGGAATTAGTTCAACTTTGTTTAGTAACTGGGTAACATTGTTCGAATCAATAACCGCCAATTAACAGGAACTACCGATAATAACGCTTTGCCACTTCGATGTGTTTACAGCAGTTGGACCACTCCAAAATACCACGGAGGTCCTGATTATACTGACATTAACACGAAATGGCGTCATTGATGTTATTTTTGTCGGCTTGAGCGTATATGTGGAGATTGTCGGCATAAAAGTGATAATATGTACGAAGTCTAGTATTGAGTTAATGAATAGCTTGAAGAGTGGAGAAAGTATGCCGCAGTTAAGTCACACCATTTAGAAGTGTTCTGATTAAAGCGTACCGCCTGCTGGCGTCCACGAACATGAAGAGAACTCTGCCTGAGCTGAGGAAGAAAGTCTGATGTGAGAGAGGATAATGTACTCATAATCTCATGGTTGACAGAGAAAAGCATTAGAGAAATCTATTATTACCATAACTGTGAGCCGTGAGTGCTCCACGCCATTACGAATATCTTCTAAGATATTGAGAAGAGCTGTGATAGTGCTACGCCCAGGTGGTAACCCAGACTGAAAAGGGCTGAGAAGTTTGAGACTAAATATATAAGGGTGGTCTGAAAAGTTCTCGACCCAACCAAGAAAACAATTAAAATAAAAATAAAAACCATTTTGATTTGCTACATATTCTCTCCTTGATGGGAGAATACTCAATACAATGGCACTTAACATACGATTAAATAAAGTATCGAGCTGTACAATGAGAATAAATTAGTTTACATACTACCCTCAAATCTCGGTCAGGCTGAGAACTTATCAAACCACCCTGGTATAAGAAAACAGATGACAGCTTCTAAAATTTTAGAACAGAAAGGGTTTATGGATATGGGCCGAAAGTGGTTTAGTTTGGAGTGGAGGGATTAGGAAGTTTAATTGAATGCGGTGGTCTATGTCATCATTTGATATACAGCTCTATGATGTCTGGACACTTTTTTTATTTCAAGGCAGACAAATTTATAATGGTGATTATATTTATACGAGTACTTACAATGTGATTTCTACAATTATAGTTCTTAAAAAACCCGTGCATACCGAGGTTCTAAAATTGTCTAAAACTTTGCTAATTAAATCGTTTTTAGTGGAGTTTTATATTCAATGAATGTGATTGAAACTGTTTGTTATTAAAATGTGTATTGGCAATTTATATTTAAAAAAATCAATATCACGGGAATATCTTATAATATTTAGATATATATATTTAGACAAATCCTAAACACCATAAACTAATAACATAAAATGAAGATGATAAAAAAAATATGTATATGATAACTTATTAATTTGAAAGACTAACTTTTAATAAATTAAAAAGATATAAAAGTACATTTGATCATTAAATAATATACTAATTTTGGCATTAGGCTATTTATTGCTGACATCCATACAGTGGAGTAATTGGAATTAGCAGTATTTGAACTTATGTCTCTATCTAATAAAAAAAAGTTTACAGTAATGATTTATTCAGGCAATGGTTATTTTCAGAGTCGATTTCAACGATTCAAATGAATGCTTTGAGCTAGTCAAGAACTTAGTATTGGACACACCAGCGGAACCCTACTTGTTGTCTATACTACAACATCTACTGTTTATAAGAGACGACGAATTGATAAGGTAAATTGTTAAAAAAAAAATTTTTTTCAACTCAGAAATACATTTTAACTGTGGCAAAGCAGATAAATATATATAATATTATAATAATTCTATTATAGACTTTAATGCTTGACGTTAAGGTTCAAAGACTATAAAAATCGTATAGTTATTAATTTAGAGAAGAGACAGTGATTTTATCGCTATCTGCGCTCTCGTGTCTTCTGTACTCTATTATATTAGCTCTATGACAGTAACTCATGTCAAGTCACGCAGAATGTTCCGATTGATTGAACCTGAAACCTGAAAACATGGTTCTATAATTATAAATACTATTTGGAATATAAACGTTTGTTTTTATAAAATTTCCTAATATTTGCTTCTTGTTTTAAGGCCGGCATACTACAAACTAATAGAAGAATGCGTAACACAAATAGTGTTACATAAAAACGGTTACGATCCAGACTTCAGGGCGACGCAACGGTTTAATATAGATGTACAACCACTTATAGACGGACTCATAGGTAAGTGGTATTTTTGTAAGATCATCCTTAAATTATTTTAAGGGGAGGAGGGAGTTAACAAAGTGACTTAAAATCTGTACTAATATTGTAAGAAGAAAGATTGTCGATCAGAAGAATGATTGTCTGTCGATCGAATATGCTTCGAAAGTACTGGACCCTAAAACTAAGTTCAGTTCAGTTTTAATTTATTGTTTAGTTTAAAATTGTAAAATATAAACATCACATTAGGAGTGGTGGGGGAAGGGTGTAAGATACACAAACATCTAAAAAAATGTATTGGTATGCGTGTGTTATGTAAAATTTGAAAAATAACGTTTGCAAACGTTCTATAATGAAAGAGTGTCTTTTCCAGTCATGAAATAGTGATAACAATTAAATTTTCGCAAGCGGAAATATTAAATCCTTGACTATATCTTTTATGCAATCATAGAGAAATCTCGAGCCGAAGAGGAACGTAAAGTAGAAGAGTTAAAGTCCAAATTGGAAGCGGCAATAGCAGCCAGACAAGAAGCGGAAGCTAGAGCGGCACATCTAGAAGACAGGTTGAAACAGTCTAACTCTCCGTCAGGGCCTGGAGGAGTCACGCAGGGCAATATAGCCGCTATAGCTAAGGTAATAAGATCTATTATATTATGTTAATTCGGTTACAATTTAATTATATGAGCCTCGACAATAAGTCCAAACAGAGTAACTGCATCCAGACATGAGCGAGTGATAAAGAATGAAAATATATCAACTATAACTAAGGTGATAAGGTTACATCTAGCTATTAGAGCTGTAGCAAATAGTAGATAAGCTCAAACAGAGCAACTTGCCTTTCGGATGTGGCCCCTAAAATAATGGTAATAGGGTCTATGTTAGACCCGTTGAGTTACATAAACAAAGAGACCATGCCCTGACTTGAAGTAGTCTAGAAGCCGAATATAATGTCTATTTAATGATTAATAGTTACATAAAAGCAACTTTCGGTTCGAATATGGAGGTAATAAATTCTATATACAAAATCATACAAGTATGTTCATTCAGTTACCTCTAATGGGGCATATCTTGAAGACAGAATCAACCATTATTTTTATATTAAAAATAATCTTGTCTTCCATAGCAAACTAGAAACTAGCTAAACAAAAGCATGGAATATGTTTACTCTTTATTATCCCGTCCTAGTTGACACAATCATGTCTGATAATTATGTCTAGCGCTATTTAAGATTTTTTTTGTTAGTATTATTATTTCTTATTAACAGGCGATAGGCAGCCCTGGAGGACCGGCTCCTCCACCTCCACCACCTATGCCAGGAGGTAAGATATTCAGTTATAATATATTACTTTTTATAGTTTTTGTATTGTTTTCAAACTATTTTAAGGAAGTTTTAATTTTCTGTAGCATATTTATAACGACTATTATAACTTTAAATTGGTATTTATTAAAAAAAAAAAACAATGATTTTTGGATATCTATCAACCATATATCACGATAATAGTTTACAGCACATTAGTGATTTGACTTCTCTGTTCTATACAATGAACAGCGCACCAGGTTGCACAAATCGGCCCAATCTATATAGTTGTCAATAATCCATCTACCAATTCGCGAGTTGAAGAAATATAGTGTATGTAATGTCTTATCAATGACAGCACATGATGAGATTTAAAAATTCTTGACACCATTTTTCATTAATATGTAATCAGCAGTGGTCGGAATTAGGTAGAGTTATTCATGTACTTACACTGATTTCATACACGAAAGAATAAAGTGGATATGCCTCAAATCCCGAGATTAATTTTAAAGAGCAGAAAAATTCCCGTGATTTTTTAAATAAAAAGTTATTAACTTTTACACAATTTAAACTACTGCACGCACGACGTTGCCAAACTTACATCAATGACATCGGATGTCCAAAGAATTAGAAATTGTCCATTAGAAATCCCGGAAAGGTCCACATTAATATCAACATTTCGATGCAAGTACATAAATAACTCTACCTAATTCCGACCACTGGTAATCAGCTGGGATTTTGACTACACCATTCGATGTCTTCGATGTACGTACGATTATCAGTAGTAATATTGATTTTATAATTAAGAAAAAAGATACCGAAGCTGACTTGGACATTTTATCAATATATATGTACATATTAAGTTATATATTTAAAAGTCATTGATAAAACCCAAATTAACAACTTGAAAAGTCTTTATTTTATTTGAATCTTAATTGCATGCGACGCTATATTTTTTGTCTTTTTCTTCTATGTTATTTCATTAAGAGTGCACCCAAAGTAAATTACTAATATAAAATTGGTAGTAAAGATAACGATAAAAACAATGACCATTATAATATATAACGAATTAGCTTTAAAAATTTAAGGTTTTAATTTTTAATAGTGAATATCATTAATATGTGTCTACACAAAAGATTTTAAAGTAACCTTAAATGGTAGTTATATATTAAAAAAATATATAAGTGACTTCTTATTCCGTTGTCTCATTAACAAGTAAGACACTAAACTAACATTTTCAATTTGAGTCAGTAAATTTAATTTATAATTGTCTCATATTTGGATAATTAGATTGAACTTAAGGGACGCTGGTAAATGACATTTTACTGACTCGAATTTAAAATCGTAGTTTAATGAAAAAAACTTACGGGTCTGGTCTAGTCATTATGATACCTTCGTGTCTCAGATAAATCTATAATATGAGGGATCTAGTTTCTCATCTTGGAATTTGAGTAATGTCTGAGCTATAAAGCTATGTATATCTATTATATACAAAACTTGTCCTGATAATAAGGAACATATAAAAGAAAGAATAATAATTCAGTTTGGTGCAGTTTGGAATTTATGCGCGTATATACATTTTGGCAATTCGTTTATATAGTATTTTACTAGTTTAGTTGCACTCTTAAATTTCGTTTGTTTCCATTCACCGGATATGTTAATAATAAATTGGAAAAATTTACATACAGTTTCTAAATTAAATTTCAACATCAACCTGTTACAATTTGAGTCAATGAGTGAACGCCAACGCCAAGTTGTTTCCATCATTCCGTGAATGGAATTAAAGTCATTATTACATCACATAAATCATTCATGTTGCCTGTCTCGTTCTCACATATGCATGAGATATATATATGTCTCTGTCGGTGTAGGAGGCGGTCCACCCCCACCGCCGCCGCCGCCGATGCCTATGGGTGGGTAATTTAATTTTTTATTGATTTTTATTTTATATATAATGGTGTCGATTCTGTTGCACCACTCTCTAAGCTAAACAAAAAAAAACAATGATTTGAATTGCTTTATTGTTATTCAAAGAAATATAATTTACTAGCTTCGCCCACGTCATGTATAATACGTATAAATTTGCCTCTCGAATCACTCTGTATATTGAAGAAAACAATTTTGTATTATAGACTATAGTCTTGTATATTATAAAATAAAAATTTTACTTCTGTTATCTTAGTTATTATCGGGATTGATAACGCACTTTTACAGGATTAAATTTGGTTTGTGCAACAGAATTGCAATCATTTGTTAAATCATTTTGCATGACTGCACTATTTTCTTTCTCATGTTATTAATATCGATAATCTTAAGTCAAGGTAAATCAAATATATAAAGTGTTATATGTTTTATACGATTAATGACTTTACGCGGCTACAAATGTTAAGTAGGTCAGTTTGATTCCTAGATCATATAGAAACTTACTGTTATATATGACGTCATTAGCAATCGGTGTATTCAAATTTTGTAGTGCTTTTCATAATCTTCTACAAGTACCGTTTAAACTGAACTGGATGATTTTAAAGGCGTTTCAATTAATATTATTGCGCAATGGCGTCTCGATAAATCAATAATGACAGTTGTTTTTGTTATCTGTGAATTGGTAACTAGAATTGTATAATAATAATAATTTATTTCGCATGAATGAAAATATATGCTATTAATACGTCATAATTACGCTAACGCTAGCAGAAATGATAACAACACTAGTTTGTCAAGAAAAGGAATTTCGTGAAATTTCAACATATAACGAACTAGCTTTCCCCTAGCGGCTTCGCCCGCGTGGTCTTGTATTGTACATAAAAACCTTCCTTTTGAATCACTCTATTCATGAAAAAAACCCTTTGCGTAGTTATAAAGATCTAAGCATACATAGGGTTATAGGGACAGAAAAAGCTACTTTGTTATATACTTTGTAGTGATGTAGGACTTGATACTGCCTCCGATGCACATATAATTTCACGGATGTGATTTTATCAAAATTATAAGAACTATTCGACATTTTCCGCTATTTCGTTTGAGGACAAACAGAATAGACTATCTGGTATCTTGCGCGTGACCGATTTTGTAAATCTATTAACGTCTCATGCTGATGTATAATTCCACTGTTAGTTGGTGGCGGGCCTCCTCCGCCCCCTCCACCGCCGATGCCGGGCGGGATGCGCGGCCCCCCTCCCCCGCCGATGCCGGGCGCGCCTCCCCCGCCGCCCCCGCCCATGATGGGGGGGCCTCGGCCGCCGCCACCACCCGGAGGATTTTTAGCGCCCAGAATGGTAATAGTCATTGGGGTAGCTAGGGATTTTTCCTAGGGGGCCATGACCCCAGCCATGAATCTTGTTAATAATTAAGTTGTTTTATGTATGAGGGAGGTTATTTTTCTAGTGTATCCACAGCTTTCTGGAGTGCACTTTTTTGTTGACTTTACTAAGACGTTAATGACTGATTTTTATTGATATACAGTCATAGTTATCATAATACGATACAGGTTACTGTACGGTTTGTGTTAACAAACCGTCTTATTATAAAATGAGGACTAAAAGCAAATTGACAATGACTGAAGAGGAAACGTAACATTGAGAGATGCTGATTATTTTGGTCGGATAATAGTTTAAACCTGGTACTAAAGTATTTTATAAATGAATTGTTTATAATAAGACTTTATTATATTTTTTTTTATTCGTTCTTGATCCGTTAAAGGTAACATGAATAAATTATAAATTACCCAGTTTTTTGGTAAACCATTTACATTAATTTCTCTTCATTGCAGCCCCAACCGGATATTTTACCACACGGGCTGAAGCCTAAAAAGAAGTGGGAGGTAGAAGGTCCCTTGAAACGTGCCAACTGGAAGACCATAGTGCCACAAAAGATGTCCGAAAAAGCGTTTTGGGTCAAAGTGAGTCTTTAATTTTTTACAGTGATTGAAGTTTCGTAGTGAATTCAAGTTACGAGATAATAATGTTTCTCATCTGCAGGTATAATGAATTAACGTAAACCATTGAGTTAGGATTTCTTAGCCACCGTATTATTTTTACACCGTGTCACAAAAATTAAAAGTTTCCGACTACTAAGTTGTTTTTTATCATATAGAATAAAGTATCATAATGTTTAGGTTCAAGAGGATAAGTTTGCCTCGCCAGACATCCTGTCAGGGTTGGCGCAAAAGTTTTCGAGCAAACCGATGGCGAAGAAAAACGAGGATGCCGTCGATAAGTATGTTAAAAAGATATTATTATAAGTGTGTACTCTGTTAAATCTCTCTTCTCTTTTCCTCTATCTCTTCTCTCTCTCTCTTCCCCTCTATCTCGTCCTCTCTATCTCTTTCTCTCTCTATCTCTTTCTCTCTCTCTCTTTCTTTCTTTCTTTCTTTCTGATGTATGTTAGCTACTTCTCATTGCACGTCACTCGTTTTGTTGTCAGGTTGACAATATATGTATTTATTTATTTGAGATGTGTGACATTAAAATGACATACAATCAGGAGTATTATTCATTTTCCGCCAAGTATGATTTACTACAAATTTTAGTCTAATATAAAGTATTCACTATTGTTCCGTTTGCGTTAAGAAAACTTATTTTAGCCTCTACGTAAGGCGAGAACTCAAAACGAGTATGCGCTGTGCGTTAAGATAAAAGCTAGAATTATTTATTTCAATATAAGCTGTTACCTATGTTAAATTTCATAATTCTATGTCCGCATAAGTTTATGTTTCGCGTTTCAATGTACAAATTATGTCTATTTTTTTACAGAGTTCACACGTTGAAAAAAGTGAAAGATTTGAAAGTGTTAGACGGAAAAGCGGCACAGTCGTTATCGATATTACTTGGTGGATCACTGAAACACATGTCATACGAACATATCAGAACTTGTATACTGCGATGTGACACCGACGTGCTGACCGCTAACGTTCTAGATCTTCTTATACAGGTGAGTTACCTGCGCAGGTGAAGGTTACGCTCACTTGAGATGCGTTTTCGTACGAATTTCATTCTTACTGTTAAGAGTTGGGGGTTCGGAATAATAATGAATACCAATATGAGTTCATAATCACTCAATTTATTCATTAAAAAGTCACATAAAATCCTATTACAAAATACAGCACTTTACTATTCCGGTTTTCCCGTGTTGCTAGATCGTCTGGATAGCTCACCGCACTAATTTATCGCTTTCGTCGTATTTAGATTACTAATTTATTATTGAATGAATTCTAGAACTGACATTTATATGGAAGAAGTATCTAATTTTAAACATTCTAGGCTAGCCTCAACCCTATGGATTTATAAGTTTCAATAATAATCGGATTCGGAATCATCGGATTGTAGCTCGGTGGCGTAGTGGATAAGCGCCGCGGCCCGCGATCGTAGTCGTTAAGCAACTTCCGCAAGGGTCGGTCACGGGATGGGTGACCTAAAAATTCTTTTCTCGAGCTACTCCGTGCTTCGGAAGGCACGTTAAGCCGTTGGTCCCAGCTGCATTTGCAGTCGTTAATACCCTCTAATCCGCATTGGGCCAGCGTGGAGGGTCATGGCCCATCCTCCTTACCACTCCATAAGGAAGGCCTGAGCCCCTGCAGTGGGGACGTAAAGGGGCTGGTGATGTGATGAATAATCATCGTAATCCCTATATTCACGACTCATTCAGTCTATTATGTTTACATGATGACTATGTATTTACATCCCCACAGAACCATTTAGTGGGATAAAAAGTAGCCTATATGTTAACCGTGGCCTAAAGTTATCCAAGTACAAAATGTCAATAAAATCCGTTGAGTAGGTTTTACGTTAACAAACATTCAATCCACAAACTTTCACCTTAATATAATTAGAAAAATGCTCTTGTATTATATATTGTCAATTGTATTCTGTCCCTCTTCCCTCAAATGTACCGTATTGACATAAAAAGTATTCAACAGTACCTCCCTCCGGCGGATCAGATGAAGAAACTTGCCGAATTGAAGGGCAACAGCGAGGAGTTGACTGAAGCCGAACAGTTCGCGGCCACGGTGGCTGATGTAAAACGACTGGTGCCAAGACTGAGGAGTCTAGCGTTCAGAGAGCATTACGCTGAAATTATATCCGAAGTCAAACCGGTGAGTTAGACGAAAGTAAACCTTAAATTAATAGCAGCAGAACATATAATAGTAGATATGTGTATAAAGTTAAACTTATCTGATAAATATTTAGTTAAATTTATTTTCTTTACTGTCAGTACTAAAGTGACAGCCAAGTCGTAAAGTTGGTAGCTAATCCGATCCTAATAATAATAATATTTATTTATTTGCGAAAATATGGTTACAAGGTAGTTTTACAATTTTAGACCAGCATATTTTATCGTCAAGACGATGTGCAAATATTAAAGTCAATATACAATAAATTGTCTGATTTTATATGAAATAAAATGTCAAGAAATTAAATAACATAAAAAATAGCAAATGTCAAATCACAGTCATAAAGTACAATAGGTTCATATTATAATCAAAGCATTCATACAATTCTATTCTTATTTGGGACGCATAATAAATTTTTTTTTTGTCGACGGTACCAATTGATGTACCTAACGTCGTTTAGTAAGGTTAGATAACCTGCCAACACGAAACTTGTTAAAAGCGAAATTCTACAAGTGGCCAGTATATTTTGTTTTTCTTTTTATTTTTTTTTATTGTTTATTGTATGTTTTTATTATGTAGCAATCATAAGTGTATTTTCTTTTTATTTGTTTAGGACATAGTGTCTGGCACAGCGGCGTGTGAAGAAGTGAAGTCGAGCGGTAAATTCGCTCAGATTCTAGAATTGCTTCTACTTCTTGGAAACTACATGAACACTGGTTCCAATAACGCTGGCGCTTATGGCTTCGAAATCAGTTTTCTTACAAAGGTAATTTTGTTTTTCCATATATAATTAGGAGTACAGTCAACTGCATGTCAGACTATACAAAACTGTCAAATTAACCCCTCTTGATTTAAAACCTTAATATGTTAAGGTCGAAATCCATTGCAGAAACTTGAAATATTGTGGTAACCTGACGTGCAGCCGTGTGTACAATATGATTTTATATTAAATGAGAAAGTTAAAAGAATATATTTATTCAAGTCACTTCCATTAAAGTCAGTCAGTTTCACAACACAAACTTTCACGTTTTGGATATACTTTCATGCAGAGTTGTACATATATACGATAGTTTACTTTGGAGTTTTTCATAAAGTATATTGAAAAGTTTGACAAAAAATATACTTTATTTGCAGTTGACAGCGACGAAAGATCTGGAAAACAAACAAACCCTCCTTCATTATTTAGTTGAAACCATAGAGAATAAGTTCCCAGATGTACTCACCTTCGCCGAGGAGATGCCACATATTGACAGGTGATTATCAGTTTTTTATTACTGAACTATTTCTCCGACTTTGTCCCTATTGAACGATGTACTTGTTCATATGAATTAGTTTTAGTATTGCCAGAAATGATCATCCAAATATATTAAAATAATGGTTTTGAAGATTGTGTAGTATTATACAATTGGATATTCTACTATGTTTGAAATAGTACTCTAAAATGTTGATTTTAATTTAAAAAAAGCCACAAAACAAATATTTCGGAAAAGTTTATACGTTTTCTTGCCTTGAAATTAAATCAAAATTTTGAACTTTTTTATACCCGCGAAAACGCTGCACGTCATATTCATGACGTCACTCTGATGTTTACATAAATCAGACGTGTAGAGTAGAAGATTAAAAGATTTCAATAATAAAAATAATAATGCCATCTATTATGTGCTATCCATAGATTACGAAATAAAAAGATATAAATAACTTAAGAACAGCGCCATCTACGAATTTGATTTATAATAAATAGGCATTAATCCGACGGCTGTTGCCGAAGTGATGTCACATAATAGCGGGTTGTGTTTCAAGTCACGTGACACACACAAAAAAAACTTCTTGTATAAATTAAAGATAATCATATAATTTTTTGACTCAGAATCAGAATCTCCACGTTTAGAATAATGTAATTTTTATATTTTGTGCAATTTCGTGATTTATTTTTCACTATCAAAACTTTCTTTAGAACCACAACAAAGATTTGGTTTACTTAGGCCTAGCACGAACATTGTAGAAAAATATTAATTAGTGGAATCATTTTCTGCAGCACTGTAAGGTAAAACCTTACTTTTCCTATAAACTTAACTTGACTATTTAACCTGTTCACATGACGTTTAAATACAGTTTGAGACGTGCTTAACTTGAAACACTCAATTCAGAGACCGGATATATATTTATTGTTACAGGGCCGCTCGGGTGTCCATGGAGAACCTTCAGAAGGCTCTGAAGAAAATGGAGAACGATATACGCGCCTTGGAAACCGATCTGAACAACTCGCGTGTTCCCCAGTGTCCCGACGATTTGTTCCACGAGAAGATGAGCGTATCCTTTTATTAAAAAAAAAACTAGCACCCGCGACCTCGCCCACTGAAATTATAGCTACATTATATTACATTATATTAGAAAACTACATTATATTATAAATTATAATATAATGTAGTTTTCCGTAGGTGAAAGAATTTTCAAAATCGGTGCAGTAGTTTCGGAGCCTATTCGAAGCAAACAAACAATCAACCAAATCTTTTCTTTTTATATTATTACAAGCTTTCCGCCAGCGTGGTCCCTAGAGAGCCATTTGTTTTGATATCGATTCATATTACGACGTGGATATAATTACAATGATAAATTGAATAGTAAATAGTGGTTACTATGGCAACGTCGTGATCCCCCATACAAACTTTTCCTCCCATTTTCATCCCTTTATTTTCTGTTTTTTTTTTTTCGGGATAAAATATAGCCTATGTTCACCGCATATGATGCAGCTTTTTGTAGGTGAAAGAATTTTTAAAATCGATACAGTTATTTCAGAGTCAATTCGATGCAAACAAACAATCAAGTCTTTCCTCTTTATCATATTAGTATCTAAGTCTCATGAACTAATATTTTGGGATTTTTATTAATATACAAAATTTCCTGAACAATATCCACCAGTCGTTTGCGAAAGAGTCCCGCGAACAATGCGACCTACTCCACTCTATGTTTAGGAAAATGGCCGCTCTGTATAGCGAATTAGCCGAATATTACGTGTTTGACCCCCAAAAGTATACCTTGGAAGAGTTCTTTTCGGATATCAAGACCTTCAAAGACTCATTTATGGTGAGTAGCGTGAATTAATTATAATGCTATTTAATTTACCGTATCCAAACATTACAAAGACTTTGCTGTCTGTATCTCATGAAACGCGAGTGTTAGATTGTTGAAATTTTCATAGATGAAGTATATCTGTTGCCGCTTCAACAAAAAATACTAAAAACCAGATAAATAGGACGTCAATTGATTTTGTAGCTCTAAAATTTGAACCTGAAAGTTTGAAAATTTGTAAAAAACTAATATTGATATTTTTTTTATCACTGCTACATGTAATTGGGCTATATATGAAAAAATACAATGCTCATAATATAAGATTGTAACAATAGTGAAATATATGAAATGTACAAGCTTTTATTTATCTGCCTGCATGCCGGTTTCAAAGTGTCACACATCACTAAGATCCCATTCCCGATTGAGTGAATGTATCTAAATCAACTTTTCTAAATTATTTATGATCCAACTGTTGTCTTCCCTTTTTTGTTTCAAATACTCTATAAATGGGTTCAAGTTACCTATTTTCAGATCTGTGAATTGTACTTGATGTTGATTTATTTAAATTCTGCACAGACTGCACATCAAGAGAATGTTGTTTCGCGAGAAACGGAAGAGCGAGCGAAGCGAGCACGAGAAGCGCGCGCGCAAGCGGAGAGAGAGAGGAGAGACAGACAACACCGGTACAAACAACTAGTCGACATGGATCGTGCGCAAGACGGCGTTATGGACAGGTATATTTGATGTGATATACAACATAAGAGAGGGACAATATTAGTCCCAAATAACTGGGTTCAGCCAAAGACAATATAAATAACTTAAATCATACAGAGACAATAAAAATGTGTGATAAAATTAACTTAAACTTTACAAATAAATGATTTAAAAGAAAATCCTCTCAGAATATATTGATACCTAAAAAGTAAACCAAAATTATTAAATTTCAGTTAGTGATATGACTATCCATATTATCAATACTTGCCGTAATACAAAACAACTGACTAACAAAATAATGTTGGAATTAACTAATAATTATATTACACTCATAACTAATTGATTTCATCTTCAACATATTGAAGTACTTTAGAAACTTAACTTAAATATTTTCTCCCCAGTTTGATGGAAGCGTTACAAAGCGGATCGGCGTTCAGTAGAGAAAGACCGAGGAAGAAAGCTAATCCAAGAGTTGCGGGAGGTAAGAGGACCCAATGTTATCATAATAATTTTTGATCAAAATTTAGCGATAAGATATACAATCAATAGAAACGTTTTGCGACCAATGAGGAAGTATTAAAAAAAAAATAGTTCCTGAGATCAAACTAGATGTCGCTGCGGTACTTTCTTGATTTCACCGTGACAGCCCTTCCGCTTTTCTTTCATGTTTAAAAATCAATTAATTTTCAAAACACAATAAACAACTCATATTCTATTTGTTTTTTTTTTTCGTGTTTTTAGTATATTAGTTAAAAGGAACGGAAATTACTATATTTGGTCAATTTTTTTCGTGCATAAATTAACTTTTGCTGGAGTCATCTAGTGTCATCTGGTCTATTTTTTCTTAAAATACTTCCTCATGAATAAATATCATATAAATCAGTCTATAGATTATATTGATGATATAAATGTATTGAAAGTTTTGCCAAATAAAATTCATTCAAAATGCTGTCATTACATTAGTAAGCTTGAGGATAAACTCACAGTAATTTATCAGTATCTGTACACCATCAATCATTTTATTCAAGATTCTCGACACATTTGATTTATTACGCCAGACAGCACTAATTTGTTAATTTTGTGATTATCGATACATTTCACGCACATCACTAGTAGAGGATATGAGTGACGAAGAAGGATTAGTACACGCGATTCTGCACCGTATAGAAGGTAAAACGCATGTAGAGAAACTGTTATATCAAAAACGCCGCTAAACTTATTTGGAGATAAATACAACAGTATGTTAAGTCTTGTTCTATCCATGGGTGTCGGGATTATATTCTAGTCATGTTATCCTTATTATTAAAATTAATAAAACGAGGAAGCTTACATGGCAACACTAAAATACGGCTAGGTTTAGGATGTTGTCACGTTTAAACAAAACAATAATAATAGGGAAATTGCCATAAATTTGGTTAAAATATTACGAATTTAAAAATTCATTATCACGTTATTCTATTTTTCATATTTCATTTCATCATGTGATTATACTTGTAGTACTTTTGGGACCGGACAAGTATTCTTAATTCAATACTGTATAAATATGTAAACTAGCATTGCTTAGGAGAAACTTAAGAAATCTTCAGTTTAAGTATAAAAAACTGTAAAATATTTTAAATGAATAATATCCTAATTTAATGTAAAGGAAGGGAAATGGGAATACTTGATATCAAGATAGATTTGGCTGAATGCATATAGATTCCTTGTCTTCATTTAATAATGCATTCATTTAAAAATGTTATCATATATTAAAATCAAATCGTTCCCTAAAGTTTTTCAATCTTTGTTGTCACGGAACTATACTTTAAAACATTGAATATCAATTTTAAGTAATCAGAGTTTGGTTACTAGATTAATTTAATAGTTCTGGTATATCATCATCTGTTTTTCAGTTGACTATTATATTGTAAACATTTCATTAGCGTAAATGATGGATGATAAAATGTAAAAAGTTGCGGACATAACTGGTATTCATAATATGTTCTAATAGAGCCTCAGTTTATGCTTCGAAAACTTTTTCAGTTGCAAATACACGGTGTGTATATATATATTTTATATTTGCAATGTATATTTTTTGCTAGTCATAATACACTGAATTGCGTTATTCTATATAATATGTAGTAAGAAATAATTATTGCAGTATATGATTTATGGAATTTCATCAAATTTATAAATACCTACTATACAAACAAATAATTACTTTGTATGTAATGAATCTAATATCATAATAAACACAGATTCAGTGATGCGATGCGGTCGTCGTGTGAGAAGGAAGAGGCCTTCTTCCCCCCGACTAGAGACATATAGACAAGTTCATACGTTTCCAAGTGTTGTCTGCTTTAGGAACGAAACGCATCTGACGAAGCGAAAACATTCTCCACTATCAAAACATCGGCTTTATCGCAGTTGAAATAAGACCGATAATAGCTCTAGCATTTTTAGTTAATTATTTCGATGACGCTTTTTATTGTGAGAGTTAATAATCTCAAGTTAACTTTTACAATTTCTACATTTTGGTAGTGTAAAATGTTCTCTCGCTGCGCTTAATCAGATGTGTTTTTGTCCTTTGATGTTTTAACCTCAGCTCTGTTCTTTTATAAAATCTGTACAAGACAATTACTAATTACCACCAAATAATATATTACGGTGTGCACTTACCTTTTATTTGCGAAATAGTATATTAATATGTGACGATTCTTATTTAATTTTTCTCTTTGTTTTTAGATAATGTCGACCAGTTTTCAACTATTTAGTTTGGGATCTTTATTCTTTATTTTAAGTATATATTTATCTTATTTTCGGTGACTAATATTTTAGTACACTGGCAATGATTAATATTTCATATAGATTTTTCAGCTTTTAATTACTTTGAGCAATGAAATCAGTATTTATACTAACTCGTTCGATGTTTCGAGTGAAGCTTCAATTTCATAGTTTCACAGAAAAATCTAGAAAATCAGCTTGAAACATATAAATTTTTCAGCTATTAATAACTTTGAGCAATGAAGTCAGTATTTATACTAACTCGTTCGATGTTTAGAGTGAAGCTTCAATTTCATAGTTTCACAGAAATATCTAGGATCAGCTTGAAACTCCATAGTCCTCGCGCTACCCCGCACTTCACCTCACCGCAAAATCTATTATGAATTTTATCTTACCATAGTTTTTTATATATAAAAAAAACAATAAAAAGTTCGAAATAGCAACTTTTTTGCTTTGCACACTCATTTTACCATGTTGACTCATCTGAGTAGTAGATGCTGTTAATTCACTCATTCGGCGTGTCACTGTCACTCCTAATTCTTATCAGTAAATAGCAATAAATACGTGTGTTGACATAAATTTTTACTTATCGATTTAACATATCATCGGAATGTAAATTGCAGTATTTTTCTTTTTATTTATTTTGACATAGCACGTTTTATGAATGTTGTATTTTTGCTTTTTGATGTTGTCTCGTGCGTTATTGTTTTCGTGTTTTAAACATCGACTAAATATTTTTCTACAACAATCGATTGTGTAATTATTAATATGCCAACCAACCTTAGGTCACATCTTACTTACCATCAGCTCAGATAGTGGCCAAATGTTTAGCTTTAGAATTTAAAAGTGTGATCATTGACAAAAGTGTCTGTGCCTATTTTCGATCTGACTATTATCTTAAAAATTTCTTGTTAACTTGGATAAAAAAAAATCAGGCATCATCCCTATTATGGTAAAGAATAACTTTAACTCTTTTGATAGTCATCATCAGTGAGCACTACAAATTAGTTAGACTCGAATTTGATTATAGTATGTAACTGTACTATATATCAATATTACTTTGTAGTAATTACTCCAATTAACTAAATCATAGATTTTGCAATTTTGAAGACTAAAAAGGTTATATCAAGTTTTTTTTATATATTTTATGAACACGGCCGTCTCAGAATGTCATTTTAAGTACTATTAGAGCGTTTTTTAAAAGCGCTATCGACGAGTGGTTTTAGTTAGTTTAAAAAACGCGGTTTGTACCCTTAGCGACATTGTCTAACAATTTATTTATTAATTTTATTGTGAATGTTAACAGCTGAGCGAAGAGCGCAGCTGAGTAGATCCAGGTCGCGGTCGGGACTAACGGGACCCCTTACGTCGAGGGAACTTACAAAGTAAGTGGGGAGTATTCTATCACTTCAAAAAAGGAGGTTATCAATTTTGTTGTAATGGTACAATACTCGTATATGTTAGACGATATTGACTTAGTGTATGTTCGCGTATTTCTCGCAAATTAGACATCGGATCGCAATTATTTTTCAGTTTGATTAGACTCAACTCGAAGAACAGGATAAATTTTATTAAAATGTTATCAATTGTTTTCCAAATATATACCATTAGCTTTCCGCCCATGGTATCGCGTGCGTGAAATATTTTTCACAATAAAGAAAAAACTATCCTATGCCATTTCCCACGGTCCACTGTATCTGTATCTGTATTCAAAGATTCAGTAGTTTAGGCGTGATAATGTAAAAGACACAAACACATACGAGTTAATTTCGCATTTATATTAGTATAGATTAAAGTTTAACTCTATTTTGTCTAATATTTTAAATTGTGAACTTATTACCTATATCGGTAATATAAAATTCAATATCATGTTTATATCGTGGGCCAAAAGTGAAACGTCCATCGCTTTATCTAACTAAAGTTGCTATTTCATGGTGTACCCGATATCCATATTGGCCTAAATGACAGAATGAGGAAGTATTTAAAAAAAACATTAATCAAACTAGATGTCGCTACGGTACTACTTCCGGTTTTCTTTCATGTATAAAAGTAAATTAGTTTTCAAAATTCAATAAACAACTCATATTCTATTTGTTCTTTTTCGTATTTGTATTCATATCTAAGTTTCGAACTTTTCAAATTTCAGTTTTTTATCATTTTAGTTAAAAGAAACGGAAATGATTGTCTTTGGTCCATTCATTTCCTCCATAAATCACCTTTTGCTAGAGTCGCCATCTAGTGGACGTGCTTTTTAGTGCTGAATGAATGAATGAATAAATTATTTATTGTACACCATAAATTATAGAGAAATTACAATTGATACAGTTTAGTTGTACAATCGGCGGCCTTATCGATAAAGAGCAATTTATGCCAGGCAACCGTAGTTTTCGTTTTTATTTTAATACTTCCTCATTGTAGCGGATCGTGGTGAAGCCAAGGATTGGCCTACAATACATATATTTTTTTAACTTTATTAATAATAAATTCTCTGTTGCAGCGAGCTGTTAAGCAACGCGTGATCATCAAAAGCTCATATCAAGTGATACTAGTTTTAAATTAAGTTTAAGTAAGTAAGTTATACACATTTATAACAATTATATATAAAGACAAGCTAACATAGTAGAGACATTACATCGACATACGGTCGGAAACAATCAAACGTTTCTCCGCCGTCAAGCTGTTCTATCTCCTTCTGTCTTTTGGAACGATAAAGACGAAAGTGCTTACGAAAGTGGGAGCAGCCCTGCTATTCTGTAAATCCGAACACGAATTCGAATTCACTCAGTCGTCCGAATGAAATTAGTAATAACGTTTTATGGCATGAGTGAAGTGAGTTTTGAAATGACACAGTGATATCAATCAATTTTGTTTCGTATTTGTTATACAAAAAATGGAATCAGTAGAATTTAAATACACTTTATGGCATGAATTCGGAGACATGAGTAAATTCGAATTTGGGTTCGGATTTTTACGTAATCGCTTCCCAGGACGGTAAATGCAGAGTGCGTGCGACATTCGACCATAAGTTGTTTTATTTAAGAAACCGAATATGATAACTCTTCATCTGACTTCCATGTATATATATTTTTAAATAATTAAATATCTTAGTGGATCGATAGTTATCCGTATAAAATTTTACTAATAAAATTGTATCCATTCTATAGTCGCCTCTTACATCAATTATTGAATTATCTTTTCGACTTGACTTTGGTTTAAAACGGTAAAGAAATTCTACTCGAGACTCTATTGATAAAGTATTATAACAGTTTAAAATTAAAATCAGTATAACTTATCAACGATCACAAAATAAAATATATTTACCGAGTGAATCGAGACATTTTAATGCATTCAATATATTATAATAATAATACTTTATTGTCACACCATTTTTAATAGTTAACGTTTTTAACATTAAATAACTTTTAACATTAAATATATATTCACGAATTTCATAATCCACTTTTTACACTAAATATTTACAAACAATGCTATAAAAATTCACGACAAATATAGCATGGTTATAACAACTCTAGATCAAATCTTGTCAAAGGGTAGTGTTTTATTTTACTTATTTATTATACAATAAGTAGTTATTCTTTTGTATAATAAATAATTAAACTTTGCCCTCGTAATTCATAGCCTATAATACCCGTGTATGAGCTTCCCGAAAGTGGGACGATTTTCATGATCAGATTATAATTTAAGATTATCCTTACAAACAAACAAACTTAGAAACTTTTCCTCTCTATAATATAAGTATAGATTTAAGCCTTGTCATTGATATGACGATTCAGTCAAACAATACTACAACTTTAATCGCTATATTTGATCTATTTAAAGCTATTAAAACGATTTTGATGAAGAGTTGTTTAATATGATGAAATGGTATTTTGAGATAGGTCTTTTTATCAAATAAAATCTTATCGGCAATAGCACCATATGTATTTTTACCTTTAGATTGATGCAATACGATTAATGGATGCATATCATCTGTTATGAGAATGTAATATGTGTAGTCAAAAACACAGTAGAATATATATATTTAAAGTGAATCTTCGTAGAACAGAACTACCTACCAATAAATTATGAAATACGTTGGAAATGGTAAATATATGTAAACAATAATTATGCAGTATCTTTGTTTTAAGATAAATTGCAAGTATATTTTATTTTCGCAGAATTAATTTATAATTTATAATCTGTGGATTACAAGAACCGAAACACGGACGGTCACGACGCAGCATCGTGTGACGTCACATTTCAATGAACTAAACGGCAATGTTTTTTATGCGAGTGCAGCCAGTACTCATGATTTTTCATTTATTAATAACACTTTTGTGTGAGAAATAACCTGATAGTGGTATAATACGATCATATGAAAGTTTTAAAATACTTTTCTCAAAGCGGTTTTGTCAATTCTGATAATAACTAAACGTACGTCTAAGATTTATAATGAGTCTTATTTCAATAACCATAAGGTGTAAGATACAATATACTAGGAGTCCGTCTCACTCACAATCGATAGTGTTAGGAGATGGCTCGCTACATCAATCGTTCTGATTAGCCGACGTGTGTCGCGCTTAAAAATCTAAGCTTTTTGCACAGGTACGTCAATGAGCCATATTAATTGTATCTTATTGTACTGAAAAAAGGTTTTGCTGATATGATATAAGCATAGATATATATTAAGCAAACCTTTTTACATAGTCTCATTATTTACTTCTTATATAAATCGAGCGACATAGGATTTTAACCAATTAGAAAACTTTTTATGCATAATATTTAATATTGATAGGATAAAATGATAAATATCCAATTTCGTCCGGGCTAATGAGATGATAAATGTATCTTAAGTTCGGACTAACTTTGCGTGCGGACCTAACATTTTATTTTAGCGGTCTAAATTATTCAATAATTATTAGGTCTTTTAAAATAATGATATAACTCGGTTAAAACTGTAAGTAACACATTAGACATCTGCAAAGCGGAATATTGACTATGTACTGTGTGAACAATGAATTCTACTACTTAATCTGAGCTTAGTGCCTTACGTTATAAGTGATATGTTGCTTTGCAGCTGTCAATTTTCAAATTACAAATTTTGTCATCTGTCTTTTTTTTTCTATATGATCAACCAGAGGTTAAATTAATGGGGTACCTTCACTTTGAATAGTAATATACATTGACATGATCGTTTTTCCATAATTGCTTTTACGCTAATGATTTTATGCTTTATTTAAATTTCTAACATGATCTAAGATGTTCAATCGGTTGGGTTAGGTTAGAACCGACTGCGAGCGTATCGATGCAGCGACCATTGACCGATTTACATAAGCAAAGAAGAAACATGCTTAAACATTATTATGTTAAGAGAAATTATGCGTAAATAGAATTATGTCAAACAAAGCATGCCATATTATATTATGTCTTAAAAATGTATACAAATCTATAGGGAACCATAATTAATAACAATAGAAGCTACAACTGTAGGCATAATTTTCTTTACTTATGGCAGAAGCTTAAAACTAATCTAATGACGTAATTTTAAAGTACGACGGGATTTATAATTACAAAATGCTTTAATATACCTACTATGTGATATCGTTATGCGATAATAAATTTGAAATTAATAGACTGCGCTTTATTTTTAAGTCTTTAAATTTGAAAATCAGCGAATAGCAACGTTCTTGTCGTTCGCTTGACATAAGGTGGATAATAAGCAATTGTGAGTCCCATCGTGTTTTTGTCTGTCATCTTAAAATTATAGTCCTTAACATTTACCAATCCTCATTCGGCCCGTTCCAATGCCATCCAAACACGCTTCTTAATAGTTACGAATACGGGTTTAGTATTTTTGAAATTGTTTAGAATATTTAAAAAAAAATCTCTTCAATGTCTATCAGTATATTAACACGCTTTTTAAACTGAAGTAAAATGAACGTCGACGGAAAAATTAGATAATGCCTGTCCATTTCACCGTTTAAATTAGCAAATATCGATATAAGATAAAGACCGAACGTTTTCTCACAAAATTTAGATTGTTTACATCTTAAATTAACATGAATAAGGTATTTTTGTTTAAATATAAACATGTCTTTAGTCTAGTATGGATTAGGAATATACATCTGGTACAGTAAATTACAACTAATTACAACAATTCTAAATATTACGATGATGATAGAACGTACGATTAAATAGTGAGTCTTATTTTATTATGAAATAAAAATACTTAGCCCTTCCAAAGTGTAAGGTTAGGCTGTATGAACAATTATGCGTTTGCTTTTTATTAGAAATTGACAGATGTTAAAAATAGCCGTTTGATTTGACGTCGAAATATGCCATTTTAATAAATCGAGCCTACTTAATTTTATAACTGTTGCAATTGTAAGGTAGTAAGACTGCCAAATCAACGCTTTGATATTCAAAATAATTCTGATATAAATATAATATATTGTATACACGAGATTAACAAAATTAATATGATATTTAGTTTTAACATTAGTTTATTAGTTTTGTATAGATCCTTTTTATATGTATAGTTTTTAATCATGCATTTGTTCTCTCTTTCACTTAAATAATGCTAAAAGGAGATGTAAATGTATTTTTTTTGTTAAGCGAAAGGTGTAGTGTTTTTATAAATATTTAATGTATAATGTAAGTTGCGTATTGTAACATTATACTTATATATTATAGTATTACACATGTAAATATATTTTTGTAAAATGTTACATTTTTGATTAATTAAAATGTTTTTGAAACTATTTTGTTTTGTTTTTATTGCTTGTTCTATGATAATACCTCTGTATTCTTTTTAATTTTGAAGTTTATCACAAAAGAGTGAAGTGGTAAAAAGCAATATCAAGATTCTGCCTCGGTTGGAAAAAGTTGTCGATCCGGGCCTCCTATTAGGTTAGTCCGCCACTGTTTGTAAGACATCGGGACGTGGGACAACATTATTGTAATCAGGATTGTCCTAGAAAATTCGGAAAGGGTGTCAACCCGTGTCAGTGATCAAAATTAATTATCAATTTAAAATTAAATTATACATATTCATTATTTGTTATGTATTCTTGATTCAGTAATTATTTATAAATAGGTTCAATATACGGTACGCTTTTTTAAGCTGCGTGGCACGTGGCTTCTAACAAAAATATAAAGGTTGTAACGTCATGCCAATATGTCAACGTCATTGTCAAAACACGTGAGTATGCGTCATACACAAGAGAAATTGAATTGTGAACTCGCTCAAGGTCTGGAAATTGTAAATCAAAACAAAAAAACTTGTTTATCAATATGTCCATAAAGCCGCATGATAGCTGTATTGCTTTAAAATAAGTATACAAAGGATTGACGTAATTATATGGCGGATATTAATGGATGGGGTGTTTTAGTTATATACTTTTATTTTAAAGTATTTTGGAAAAATGTCAATAACCCTATTCGATAATATTTGATATAAATATCTCAATCCACATATACCTACAAATTTCATTCAAAACAGTAGGTAGCGCCGTTGCATTCATAAAAAATAGCTTTCATATATCACGCCGAGTGTTGTGCCAGTATTTCGGTGCGCAAGAGTTTGTAGGTGGGCACTTCGCTTAAAAACGACAACTGATTAATGATTATAAAGTCTTTATCACACTAACGCCTTCTTATAATCAGATTTAAGATAAATTTACGCCGTTTATTCCCAGTATGGCACTATGTTGCCTAATTAGTCTGATACAAATACCAACTTTCAGTATGGAGATCAAACATTAAAACATAACAGCTGTT